GACCCCCTTGCCCGGGCCTGGCCTGGAGAGCGATCAGGACCATCTCTGGTACAGCGCTGACCCACCCCTGTATGTGCCCCGTCCAGGACAACAGGGACGCTGACTTTTTCCATGAAATATGGTCTCCGATGACTTGGAGCCTCCCAAAGCCATCTGTGCGGTCACCAGAGGCCAGTTAGGAGGAGTCAGTGCAGTCAGACCAGGCCGCGCTGTGGTGTCACAGAAGCACCTTTGAATTTTGCAGGGCCTTGGGGTCCTGTGCAAGGGCCGTGGGAGGTTGGGCTGGGCGTTGGGTCAAGTGTACTGGGCGCGGATGGACCTGCACAGCAGCCTTGCCCCCCCTGTGGGAGTGTGTGCAGGGAGCACGTGGGCCTGGCTACAGTTCTGGATGCCCGGTTCTGGATGCCAGTCTCAGCTGGACACATCATGCCGGAGCCTTGCACGATCGAGTCCGCCTCCCTCCCGGTCTCGGCGCTGCACTCCAGGACCCTTCAGATACCGGGGACCTTGTTATGCACCCCTCCCCCAACCCCACACCTGCCATTTCCTCTTCCTCCCTCCAGTGGCCACGGCTGTCGGATGCACTGGGCCCAGATGGCCGTGACATGAATAATCTGCTTTAACAGACGCCCGGGGCTTGTAATCTGTCCCCTGCCCCACCCAGCACACTCATGTTCGGAGAAAATCAAGGTTGCCGTGGACTGTCTGTGTCATGTGGGCCGAAGAAGCAGAACTTTTGGGAACCAGAGCTTGTCACCACCCCAAGAACGACACTGCTACGTTCTAGAAGCACCTGCATCTCAGACGTGACTCGGCCCCGTCAAGTCTCCCGCCTGCCCTGTGAGGTTCTGGGCTCAGAGCTGGCAGGCCTGCGCCATCTCTGTGTCCCCGGACCCGATAAGTTACCGGCACAGAATTGGTCTTAGGGATAGGTATTGATTTAACCAATCAAATGTGATAGTGTTTTCGTCTTCATTGCTGAGTTTCACAAAAGTCTAATTACTTTCATACTTTTAACTTAAAATAATCACTTCTTTGCCGATTCTTTTATTTCCCCTTCTCCCATAACGTGGAACATACGCAAAGTGAAATGTTTGGGCTCCTGTTTTGTGACTTCGAGTAATATGCGCGAACCTACGGTTCTTCGTGTCGGAAGCGGGGCTCCCGGGCTCTGTGCCTTGTGGAGGCCCGGAGAGGAGCGGCTCGGCCACTACGGCGGGAGGCCGGCAGTTTGCCTCCCCAGAGCCTGGAACAGGCGTGGACACGAGGCCTTCTGCAGAAGAGAGAGAAGAAGGGAGTGGTGCCTGCGTTTTTGAGACGGTTCTGTCCCAAGTTAAGATGCCAGGATGCGGCTCCCTGGCCAGCGTGTCTTGGGGCCCTGGGGAGCTAGAAGCGGCGGGTAAAAGGGGAGCCGAGTGCACGCACGTTCCTTGTCCTTCTTTTGAGAACGAAAACAAGCTGAGAACTTGGCAGTGGACACGGGTGGGGCGACCCCCCTGAAGGTACTCCCGGGTGTCGGTCTGGCCTCTTCTCTGAGTACACAGAGCAGAAGGGACTGTCGTCTCACTCTTGCCTGGAGGAGCCCTCAGTTCCCTTGTGAGGTGCTCGCTGCGGCTGGGACGGAGAGTCTGCAGCCTTCCCGTGGGGCGCCCCCAGTCCACGCGGACAGCCGCATGCGCCCCGGCTTGAGGCGGCAGGAAGGAAACAGGTGCCGGTGGTGCAGCCAGCAAGTTAGGGAAATGCTGGAAGGGGGGGACCCGCAGAGAGCCTGAACCTCCGCATCTTCTAATCCACCTCAACCTTTGGCTGACCGTTGAACCTCGTACACATGGGAAGGAGCCTCAGGTTTGCCCCCCAAAATTCAGCAGCTGGAGACGGAGCTCAGCAGCCACTTCCGCTGCTGCCCACTGTGTGAGTCCAACGAAGTGAACTTGTCCCTTAGAGCAAGCGTAACTCTCCAGAAGAACTCACAGCCTCCAGTCTATACTTCATTGTGTTCAGTGTCCAATAAAAATCATCAGACTTGCAGAGAAACGGGAAAAAGCGAGTCATAGAATAAAAACGAGCCAGTGGGCGCCCACCTTGCTGACTCAGATGGTACGTGAGCAGCTTCTATAGATACGGTCAGGAACTTAGAGGGAAAAAATGCACCGAACGAATGAACAGATGGGGAGCTCAGCAGAGAAATAGAAACTCAGAAAAGGGCCATGTGGAGCTTCTAGAAGTGAGGGGCGCCGGAGCTGAAGCAATCCCGGGTCAGCCTGGGAGGAGGCTGCAGATGGCGGGGGAGCCGTTGAGCTTGGGGGGCGTCACATGAAGTTATACACTGAGTCACAGAGAGAAAAGAAGATGGAGAATAGGAACAGAGCCCCAGACGTGGGGGGCAATGCCGCAGCTGCGATTGGCATCCCAGAAGGAGAAGAAAGAGACAGAAAAAAATTGAAAACACAGTGGCCCCTGACTTGCTAAATTCCAAAACCGCTATCATAAAACTACAAGATGTTGCTGAGGGAAATTAAAGAAGACCCGAATAAATGAAAGGATATAGTGTGCTCATGAACTGGAAGATATTGTTAAGGCGTTAGCCTTCCCTAGGTTAAACTGCAGATTTAATACAGTTGCTGTTAGGGTCCCAGCTGACAAGACTGTGAAGGTGACGTGGAAACAAAAGGACCCCAGAATAGCCTACACAACCCCATACAGAACAAAGCCAGAGGGTTTAAGCTACCGGGTTTCCAGACTTCCTATGAAGCCAGTCAAGACAGAATGGTATTGGCATAAGGATAGACGAATAGGTTGGTGGAATAGATGAGAGAATTCGAAGGGGTCTGAGCAGTCCGGCGGGAAGAAGGAAGTTTTCAACCAATTATTCTGAAGCACCTGGATATCCCTGTGGGGAAAAAGTGAATCTCATGGTGTCCAGCTCACATCACACACAAAAATTAATCTTAGATGGATCAGAGACCAACACAGACGCAGAAACTATATAGTTTCATAGAAGAAAAGACAGGAGAAAATTCCTTGGAAAATGGAAGAAAGCGAAGATTTCTTACCCAAGACACGGGATTTCTTAGGCCACAGGACAGTCCGGGCACCACAGAGAAACATTGGAGAAGTCAGGGCTTCATTAAAATTAGAAATGGATTCTTACCACAAGATACCATTAAGAGAATAAGTAGCCAACGCCAGAGGTTGGAGAAAAGTTCATGCAATGTATTTGACAAAGATTTTTTTCCTCCAAAATATGTAAAGAGCTCCTAGAATTCAATACGTAAGATGGGCGACGGATTTTTAGAAATGGGCAAAAGCCTCAGAGCAGGCCGTTCGCAGAGGAAGAGACACAAAGGACCACGAGTGCGCGGAAGAGCCCTCAGCACTGTCAGTCGTCGGGAAGACCACAGTGACAGCCAGTCCAGCGGCTAAAATGGAAAAGATCAGCACTCGCCAGAGCGAGGGAGAACCAGGGACAGCGGCTGCTGGGGACGCCAACGCTGCATCCACGTTGGAAAAACGCCGGGCGGCTACCGAAGTTAAACGCGCCTCCCCTTTGGCCCAGCAACTCCGCTCCTCGGGGCATTTCATTTCCGAAGGCGGTGAGAGTATACGCGTGTACACACACGCGTGCGCACAGACAGGTGCTCGTAGCAGCTTTTATTCCCAATAACCCAAACGTGGAAGCAACCCGACGTTCACCGAGAGGAGACTGGTGACGCGTCGTGGCGCGTTCATGCGATAGATCAGCCCCGGGCGATAACACAGGCGGCTTGGATGGATCTCAGAGACAGGATGCTGGGGGAAGGAAGCCGGGCACAAAGTGACCCACGATGCCGGCCATAGAACATTCTGGAACGGACAGAACTAAGCTTTGGCGAAGAGCAGCCAGGAGGGCGGTTCCTGGGGAGAGGGAAGGGGACCGTTGAGGGAGGAGAGGGACGTGCGGGGAGATGCGAGTGCTCTGTATGCGATGGTTGTTATGCCGGGGTGTCCGTTGGTCATGGTGCAGCTAAGGCTGCATGTCAATCTATAGAAACTTTAGCAAAAAATAAAAAATGGTGAAAAACTGTCAGGTGTTCTGCTCACACTTAAAATGCAGCAGGTGCCCTGTAGATGCTATTTGCCCAGGGCACAGGGAGGGTTCTGAGTTACAAATGGCGCCAGGAAGAGAGGAGGGTGGTGGAGAAGGGACTCGACCCCTCGGACACCTTGTCCAGGACCCAGTGGCCCACTGGGGCCTCCAAGTATCTTCAAGTCCCACCTGTCCAGGAAGCTCCTCGACCCCTCAGCCTTCAGATGCCGCAGCTCCTCTTCGGGCTCCTGGCAGGACTGGTGCCTGCCTCACCCCACAGTCAGTAGATAGCTTCTTGGGTTCCTCTGAACCCCCCAGTGCTGGCTTCAGAGCTCAGCCCTGCCTGCAAGTACTTAGCAAGTGAAAGCGTGGTGACCAGAAAGCCTCTTGGAGGAGGTGCCCCACGACTTGAGTCTTACAGGGCAGAGGTGGTAGCCTGGAGTAGAGTCAGAGCGTGACCATGAGCTGAAACGAAGGTCTGCTGAATTATAAGTTAGGCGGTGATTTCCTTGGTGCTCGTTTGGGGAGGCTCGTCGCAGCCGCGGGTCCCTCTCGGCTCTGCCGCTTTCCCGTGTGAGCTCTGCACCTGGACCTGCACACTGGGGAGTCCCTGCAGCTGTGGGCTGGGGTGAGGACACTTGGCCTGGAGGCAGGAGCCCAGGCCCCAGAGCTGGGCGCTCCAGTGACTCGCCGTGGGAAGATTCCCCTGAGGGTCCCACCTCTGGACCTCCGCTGTGTGTGCCCAGCATTTACTGAAGGGCCGGAGTTGGGGCTCGGTTACTGTAGGTCCTTCTGAAGTGTGGCAGGTAAAGGCCGAGGTGACGCTGTGCATGCTGCGTGATTTAAACTCACAGGCACCTGGGAGGCAGGTGGCCCGACACCTCTCCTCTCCTGCTGGCGCTTTCCGTCCCTCTGACCGCTTCCCTCCTTGCAGTGAGCACGACCTGGGGGAGGACATCTATGACTGCGTCCCGTGTGAAGATGAAGGGGACGACATCTACGAGGACATCATCAAGGTGGAGGTGCAGCAGCCCATGGTAAGCCCTGCCACGCCCTCGCCCTCTCTGATCCCTCAGCTCCAGGGCCACAGGGGGAGCTGGTCCCAAACGGAGGGAGCTCCAGAGGCTGCACCTGCCCTTCCCGGTTCCTCCCCTTCCCGGGCCCAGCCTGCTGTGGGCCCTTCGGCCCTTCGAAGTCTCCTAAGGAGAGCGGGAATGACACTTGTCATTGCAACCTTCTGTGATGCATTGCCGTGGAATTCTCCTCGGAGGCTGCAGGGCTCCGAGCCCTTCCCGCCCGGGAGCTGTCAGCCTGCGGCTGGAGCTCAGTCTCACACCGCACGCAGCGGCCTCCCCTCTGTGCGGCACCGAGGACCCGCTATTGTCGCACTTCGCCAGCTGTGCGTCTTTTGTGCGGGGAGGGTACTCATTTCCCAGCAGGAACCGGCTAATAGTTTCTCGGACGCCACTTGGTTTCGGTGTGGGTGTGTTGCCCACAGCTGCTGTGCCGAAGGTGGGGGTCCTGCCGGCCCGGCCAGGAAGATGGGGACCTGGTGGGGTGGGCCATAGCCCCCTTGGGCCTCCAAACTCCAGGAGGTAGTCGAGGTGCCACTTGCCAACTCCGGAGGCTTTTGATGCCATTTACTTTCACTGAAGAAATGGGGGAATTTCTCAAAAAGGGAATCTCAGTGTTGTCCTTCACATGGGAGCAACCAGCTAGTGGTGGAAAAACAAAGAAGCCCGGAGCAGCTCCCCGTGAGGCCTTTCAAAGAGGCTTTTCCCACCCGGGTGGTGCCCGCTGCCCCCAATGGCCTCGCGCGGGGGAGACGCTGGACAGTGGAGCTTGCAGCCCCCAAACCCTGCTCCTAAGAACGGGTTTCTCGTTGAGCCCTGAAGGGTGTGAGGGTGGGCTTCCTTCCCCACTGAAACGAGGGGTCCCAGTCTGTAGAGTGGGCTGTGGGGCTGTGACCCCAGGTCTGCTTCGGGTGATGCTGTCCTCCCCGGGCAGCCGTGCCGCGGGGCAGCTCTGGGAGGCCTGTTAGGGGCTGGAAGGCCAAGCCCTGGCCCTCCTGTAAGTGTGTGCGCGCAGTGGCCTGTGGTTATCTGGACGGTCCCTTGACCCCAGCTCATACAAGCTCCCGAGGGACCCCCATAGGGCCCGGCCTGCAGAGACCCTGGGGTGGGCATTCCCCAGAGCTCTGCTGTCCCTGGTCCTGAAGCCCACACAGTGGACCTGAGGCTGTTGGCGGGGCCTGTGGGGCTGGAGGCGATGCCCACCTGTATCCTGGGGACAAGCTGCCCCCCTCCCCCACGCCCTGCTCCGCTCAGTGTCCTAACACTCGGCACTGGTGCCCGCCAGCCGCCGCGTCCATCCAGGCAGGTGGGCCTCTTGCCACGCCCTCGACATACAACAGCTGGTTTCATTTCATCACCTGTCACGTCTGGAGCTCTCTCAGCAGCCTGAGTGGGAGGTAACGGGGATGGTGACTTTACACAGGAAGATAAACCAGGGGATGGCAGGTGTCGCTCTCAGAGTCCAGACGTGGGAAGAACTGCGATGCGCCCAGTCCCGGTGCTGCCTCCCGCCCAGCCAGGCGGCGCGGGCATCCCCCAGGCTGTCGGCTAAGTGCACCGACCCTCCCTGACCTCCCCACGCGCAGCCTGGATAACAAGCTGACGCTGCTAATCGGGTTTTCCTGTCATTTGTTTTCCATGCTCTCAGATTAGGTACATGCAGGTAAGCACTGCCTGTGTCCTCTCTGTCTACCTCTGCGAGGCCTCGGGCCCCTACCCCGGGAGACACTGTCGGGCACCATTTTTCCACACAGTTTTAGGGGCATCATGAAGCATCCCCATGAAGCTCTGAGAGGAACAGTGCAGCTTCCAGGCCGAGCGGGTCTGTCGCCTGGGACGGAGCCGGGGGCTCCTGCCGACCCTGGCCCCTGGGGCGTGTGCCCGGTGCTGCCCTGCGGAGCTGCAGCCCCGCAGACTCCAGCAGCCCTGGGCATTCCTGGAGGGGGAGGATGGTGTTAGGGCGTGTGCGGGTCCACATGTCTTGTCGTGTGTCCCAGCTGCATTTCCCCAGAGCCTTGCTTACGGGCGGATACTGCTCAGCCTGAAAGGACCCGAGGAGCATGGCTGCCTCTGAATAGTCACAGCCCTGTCCCTGCCCCCGCCCCCCCCAGCCTCTTTCCTGGCCTCTATGGCCATAGTCTTTGGTCAGTCGCACCCCAAACCATGTTCCTCCCAGAGGTGGGGGCAGGCCCTGCCACAGAGGCGTATCCCCCGGTGACCCCTGCCAGTGGCTACGTCACAGGACCCTGGTTGGAGGCTAGTGGACACTCGGAATTGGTGTCTTTCTCTGAGGAATTGGTGTCTTTCTCTGAGGCACTAGCTGGCTGATGTTGGGATGGTCTCTTCGTTGGCAGACATGGGTCCTCAGGGAGCTGGTCAGACCCTCTCTCTATGCACACAGTAGGTGCTTTAAGCATGTCACACCTGCTGTATGTGCTGGAGGGGGTGGCTTGCGAGGGCCTCACCCTGGCCTGGAAGCCTCCCTTCCTCAGCACTGTCACCAGTTCTCAGGGTCACACATCCCCTCCTTGTGCCTCAGTTTCCTCATTTGCAAAAGGGAGGGGAAGGCCTTGGGCCCCTCGGTCTCCCATGTGGCCCCACCATGACCAAGCCCAGCGGTGAGCAGGCGGCAGGCCTGGCAGGCATCCTGGCTCACGCTGCGTGTCCATCTTCCAGAAAATGGGCATGACCGAGGACGACAAGAGGAACTGCTGCTTGCTGGAGATCCAGGAGACCGAGGCCAAGTACTACCGGACGCTGGAGGACATTGAGAAGGTGGGCGGGGCCCCGGCCCGTTCCTGGTGGCCACCAGGTCCACCGCAGGGCCCTGGTCTGCGGGGAGTGCCGTTACCAGGAGGGGCGTCAGGGCAGCAGTGACAGATGGAGGAGCTCAGCGGTCATCGGCTTTGCCATCAGGCGCCCCTGCCAACCGCCAGTGCTGAGTGGGGTGACAAACCAACATTGTTTATCAGAGGGAACCTTCATGGCTATTCTTTGGTTGCAGTGTAGGGCCCAGTGTGGCCGTGAGGGGGACACGTGAGTCCCCCACTGTATAGGGCACTGTGTGGCCTCCAGCCAGCATCCTGTGATGCCCCTTGGCCCCATGTCTGGCTCAGGCCTCTGACTAATGCTCCCCTCCTTCCGGCCCACCTGCCCCTTGTGTGCTGTCCTCCAGCCCCACTGACCGCCGGCCTTTCTGCAAATACACCGGGCACTGTCCCAGCTGCCCACCCTGGTCCTTGAGTGCCACCTCCCTGTCGCCCACAGTACCCCCCTTCCGTGAGTCCCAGCCCCACGTCAGCTCCTCCCCTAGAACTCGCCTTCCAGGCCAGGCACTTCCTGTCCGCGGTGGGCCAGGTGGCGTTGAGGGCTGCGTACGTTGGGGGTCTCAGCCAGGGCAAGCAGCGTGCTTATGGTCCTCCCCTAACCATTCGAAGTAGGTGTTGCTGTCCCCGTGTCACAGGTGAGGAAACCGAGTCACAAACAGGCCAGGGCCAGCCTGTCCTCGGCACAGGCTTGCTCATTTGGACACTTCTCTCCTGTTCCACGCAGGGCCCCTCGGGGGAGGAGGGGAGGGAGAGGAGAGACGGCAAGTCCTCCGTAGGGACCTCCAGGCAGGAGGTTGAATATGTGAGGATCTTGTTGAAGGCTGGGCCTCGAGGACTCGGGACAGACTACTGCCTGCCACACGGTGCTTCTGGGGTTAGAGAGCATCTCTTGGTGGCAATTTAGGGATGCACCCAGGAGAACAGGCTCAGGAATTTGAGTGTTGGGTGGGAACCGTGGCCCTGTCACCATCCAAAGGTGTTTACAGGGTGATGCCCCTCACCTCCTGGGCCTCAGTTTTCTCAGATGTCTCAAATAACGATAGCTATGCTCACCTCAGTTGCTGTGGGGTTTAATTCCAGCGCCACGCTGAGTGGGCCCCTTGGGGCTCTGCCCAGGTGGCAGGTGTGGGTGCTTGGTTGGTGTTCAGGCCCAATCCTGCCCAGTTCTGCACAGAGTGGAGCCCAGATCTCCCAGAACGCGCTCCAGTGAGCACTGAGCATTGGCCAGGTGCCACCCTGCAGGGAGCCGCTGACCTTGGCAGGGTTGTCAGAGCCCCTCAGGGTTGTCAGGCAGCTGTGGCCTGAAAGGTGGCTGCCCCCCCCTCCCAGGCTGAGATGGCGGCATTGGGTTCTCTCTTCCAGAACTACATGGCCCCCCTGAGGCTGGTGCTGAGCCCGGCGGACATGGCAGCTGTCTTCATCAACCTGGAGGTAAGGTCACGGGCTGTGCCCTGCATGCAGACTCTGTCCCCAGGTCCTGAAGCGCTGCCTCCCTGCGAGGGGCACGGTTGGTCCTGGCTAAGGGGTGTTTTATGGCTGACAGATGAGGGGAAGACAGCTTGCCCTGAAATGTGGGGAACACCCCTTCCCTGGCCAGTGGTCCCAAGTCCACAATGGTGAAACTTTATCCTTCAGAGCCCAGGCCCTGGGTCGGCTACATGTGTCTGGACAGGCTGGTGTGGCCGTGGCCGCGGACGGCGTAGGGGACGTCAGAGTGCCCAGGCCTCCTCGTGCGCCCATCCCTGTGGCAGCTCCTAGCTGGATCACGCCCACACTTACCTGGGATGCATGCCCAGCGCCGGGCTTCTCACATTCGATAGAGTGACTCAGGACCTGTGGGCCCTTCTAGCCTGGTGTCCTGTTCACACACTGACCGCTTTTTCCTCCCAGGACCTAATCAAGGTGCATCACAGCTTCCTGAGAGCCATCGACGTGTCCATGATGGGGGGGGGCAGCAGCCTGGCCAAGGTCTTCCTCGAGTTCAAGGAGAGGTGAGTGGCAGGCTCCTCCCCATCTGTGGGATCTCAGAAGGGTCCGGGCGCCTCTCTGGTTCCGCCCTGGACAGTACAGAGCTGGTGGGGTGACTTCACCCAGGTGGGAGTCCCTGGCTGTGTGTTGCCCGAGGCAGGAGGCCGTGCCCCTCTGGACCTGTCCTCACTCGTAAACTGAGAAAGCTGCCCACCCTCCCCCATCACAGCCTAGAGGGCCCCTCCTCCTGGAGGGGAGGAGGCCTCCCAGGGGCTCCAGCAGCTCCCTCTGCCTCTGTCGCTGGGGGTCTTACTGGCTGAAAGACATTCCAGCCATGACGGCGCACCTGGCGCCATGCCCTAGGGAATTGGGCACCTGGGAGATTCTGTCCCCTGTGCCCGGGCACCTGGGCGAGTGTGCCCACTGTGCCTGGGTCCCCACCCAGGTGGCATGTGGAAGCTGCTGCTGGTGAAAGAGAGGCCACCCTGGGCTTGTCTGAGTGAAGGGCTTTGGGGACTCATGAACATAACTGAGAGCCCAGGCTCCAGAGTCCCCACAGCTGAGACCACTTCCCTGCTGTTAGGGTAAACTGAGGCCAGGCCTATGCCTCTGACATGGCTGGTCCACGCCCAGCAACGGACTGCTGTGGCCTGGTGGGTGCAGGGGTCTGGCCCCCTGGGCAGTAGCCACAGTCATGGGCGCTCAGCTGTCCTGGCATAAACCAGCCCCAGCCTTCCTGGGGTCCCCTCACCCTGGGAGGCAAAGGGCTTCTCTCTTCTGGCTTTGGACCTTTTCAGGGGCAGGATGGGGGTACTGCACCCCCAAACTAACCCTGCCCTGGACTAGAACCACAGAAGGGGGCCCCCCTGAGGTTCGGGGAGAGCGGGGTGCCCCTCCTTCCCAGCACTGCGGCGGCCCTCCTCCGAGCCTAGCGGTATTTCACGCGTGGGGCGAAAGCAGCCGTGCGGAAAGGATAGAGCCGCTAACCGTGTTGGCGCGCGAGGAGTTGTCACGGGGAGACCCAGTCGCTGTGCGCTGACAGCCGCTGTGAAGCTAGAGTGGCTCGCGGCAGCCGCAGCGGCTTCCTGAGCCTTCATGCGTGTGTGTGTGTGTGCGCGCGTGTGTGCGTGCGTGTGCGTGTGTGCGCGCGCACGTGCGTGCATGTGCGTGCGTGTGCCTGCATGTCTGCACGTGCACCGTCCAGGCTCCTGATCTACGGGGAGTACTGCAGCCACATGGAACACGCCCAGAACACGCTGAACCAGCTCCTCGCCAGCCGGGAGGACTTCAGAGTAAAAGTCGAGGTAACGGTGGCTTCCCAGCCTGTCCCCAGCCCGTCCCCAGCCCGTCCCCTGGCCTGTCCCTGGCTCAGCCCTTTGCAGCTGCTGCTTGATGGCCTCTTGCTCGCCCGTTCTATGGGAAGGTGGGGACAGGGGTAGTGATAAGACTTTTTTGTAGGTGATTTTAGCAGGTGATTTTTTTTCTCCTTTTTGGGGTGGGGAGTGGGCAGGTGGAGGTCACTGTCTCAGGCCAGAACACAGTCTGAGTCCCTTGGGTGCAGCTGAGATAGGCCCCAAGGACCAGATCTGGCTCAGTGAGGGCCTATGACCCCTGACCCAGGCCTGTGCGGACCCCAGGGGTCCCCAGGTGATGGGCGTTTGCTGGGAGCTGTGGAGCCTCCCACTGCTCTCCCATCCTCGCCCTGGGCTCAGGGCCAGTCTCCTGTCGGGTTTCCCATGTGAATCCCTCCCCAGGACCCTGTTCTCTTCCCCCTCCCTGGGGTTAGTCAGGCTCCTACTGAGGCTGGGTTCCCATGTCGCATCCTGTTTGCAGAGTGCGGCCTGATGCAGGGTCCCTTTGCTCTAGCAGTGTGTCCAGGCAACTAGTAGGAGCCCCTGGTTCTGCAGGTGGTCCCCTTAGGGTGAGCTGGCTTCCCGAGGCTATTGAGGCAACCCAGTGGGCACCAGCCCCAGAATCCCAGAGTCCTCGTGTGGCCATGGGGACCCGAGGCTGTGAGAGGCAGCGGGCCCCACACCTGTTTGGAGGGTTCTGGGAGCCAGGCCAGAGGAGGACTGGACACCTGGCCCCAGTCCCGGCCTCAGGTCCGCGCCCCCGGCCGGGGTGTGGGAACATCGGGGTCCAGCGTCCCCAGGCGAGGACGCGCCTCATCGACATGCCGCTCCCGACACCCAGGAATGCACGCTGAAGGTCCAGGACGGGAAGTTCAAGCTGCAGGACCTGCTGGTGGTGCCCATGCAGAGGGTGCTCAAGTATCACCTCCTCCTGAAGGTGAGACCCCCTCCCGTCCGCTGCCTCTGTTGGGGCCAGACTAGGACAGAGCCCACAGACAGGCCAGAGCGAGATAGATATATAATTTAAAATTTTTATTCTTTTAATTCTCACTTGAGGATACTTTTTCCATTGCTTTTCAGAGAGAGTAGAAAGGGGGGAGAGAGAGAGAGAGATGTGAGAGAGACACATTGATTGGTTTCCTTCCGCACGAGCCCCAATGGAGGCTGCAACCCAGTACAGAACTGAACCCGGGACCCTTCAGTCCGAAGTCCGATGCTCTAACTACTGAACCAAACTGGCTAGGTCCAGGGCGAGATATAAGCGAGCAGACAAATTAAGACAGTTTCTGCTTAGCGCATAAAAACTGTGCAATGTGTTAGGAACTGCTCAGTGTGTATGTGGAACGTTTATCACAGTGAGTATACAAAGGAAAGTTGATTAAAATTGGTAAGAGAGCAGAGAAAGTGGAAGAGACAGAAAAGCATTGTCTGGCCAGGAATCAGAGCGTTCCTGTGGCTCTCTCCTTAGCTGTCTCTGAGCTCCCTGGTCGCCATGGTAGAAATGGAAATAGGAAGTCCTTTCGGACGTATAGACCTGGGGAGAGACAGTGGTTTCTTCTGCAAGGTGCCAAGTGAGGCTCTTTAGTGAATCAACCGGTTACCTGTTAGCTCATCCCCTTGCTTTGTGCTACTTAACATCTCTTCTGTTATCCACAAGATTTGGGGACAACAGCCCTCCCATGAAGCAGCGTGTCGCCCGCTGAGGGCCCACTGTCTGTCTGCTGGAGGGGCAGCAGAACCAGAGCCTGGGCTGGCAGGCGGGTCTTTGCCCCAGAAGGCCTCACTCTGCACACACCCTGTGCTGGGTGGGGGCGAGGACAGAGGCCAGGGCCCCCGAGTGGTGACCCATGGCTCTCCTCTCACCCCGCCAGGAACTTCTGAGCCATTCCACTGACCGGCCTGAGAGGCAGCAGCTGAAAGAAGCACTGGAAGCCATGCAGGTGGGTGGGTAAACTGAGGCAGGGAGAGGCCGGGCCAGCCTGGGGCTTAGAGTATCAAGCCTGCATTCTTGGATTGGAATCGGGCTCACTAACAAGCCTGCTCTGTCACAGTGGATGTAGATTTTTGTACGACAGCAGGAGCAGGGGACAGGGTGGTGGGTGAGACCCACCCCCGGGCAGAGGGGCAGGTAGAAGGGGCTGCAGACTTTCCCACCTGTCTGCTAGGGCTGTTACTGGTTCCCAGGCGCTGGGCTCAGTTCTGGGCATCTGGCCCTATGCTGCCCACTGCCCAGCCCTGTGACTCCTGCTGGTTAAGTGCCTGCCCCACCCAGCCACACCGAGTCCCCACCCCCCTCTGTCCCTGGAAGCCCACTGCGCAGGTACACCTCCCAAAGGAGAGCTCAGCTCAAGTCACTTCCCTGCTCAGACACCTCCTGTGGCTCCCCACTGTCCCCCGAGCCAGGCACGAGCTTCTCACCTGGCATGCAGGCCTCCTCAGGTACTTGGGTGGCCCTGCAGCTGTATTTGCTGCTGTGCCCTAAGTTCCAGGCAGGCTTGGCCACGTCCAGGCCCCTGAACACACTCCATCCTTGCCCGCCTCTGTGTGGCTCAAGCTAGGCCTTTTTGTCACCAAGCTGCGTCCTACGTATCCCCAGCCTTTGCAAGGTGACGTTTCCCAGGAGGATTGCCCCCTCTGGGTTCTGTTCCCTGATGCTCCGTGGTCCCTGCTGAGAGCTCCTCTGAGCAGCCTCGTGCTCGTGGAGAACCTCACTCCAAGTCATGTGTGGACCCGTAGCCTGTGTCCCCGAGGCCGAGTGGTCGGACAGCTCTCCAGGCCATCTTGTAATGTTTCTGCCTCAGGATCTCACATTCTGCCCTGCCACTGGGCTCCTTGTAGGAATGAACATTCAGGAGCTCTGGAGGGGAGGCTGGAACCTGCCCCCACCTGGGCCTGGCTCGAGGGTTCCATCCAAGGCAGCCTGCCCTCCTGCTGGGCAGGGTCATTGCCACCTGCATTGGTTCTCTGGGGTGGGGCTGGGTCCCCTGGCTCTCTCCAGCGCTGGGTGCCCCAGCCCAGTCACCATGTCCTCTGGATTGCAGTGGGCACTGCCCCCTGGTGGCCAGCAGGAGACTGCATTGCATGGTCACCCGGGCTGGCCGGTGGGCTTCGCTCACGTGCAGTGGAGACTCTGGAGGCGGTGGCCTGCGGGGTGTCCACTTCCCAGAGCTAAGAATTGGGCTGATCCAGTTCTGGCTGCTTTTTATCTACTCTAATGTAGAAGGGGATCAGGAGCTAGGGGTTTGGGGTTCTTGGTCTACCAGTTGGAGTATGGTTTTGGGTTGGCTTTACCTTTTCTGCCTTAGTTCTTTCATTTGTCAAATGGGGGTGACCCATCTCTCTACCTTGCCGTGTGGAGAGCCAGCCACCTCTGGTGGATGGTTGAAGGTGCTTTGAAAATTCCCAGCCCCGGGTGGACACGGGGTGGGGGTGGGGGCTGAGCCCCTCTTGCCCTGCCCAGCACAGGCCAGCTAACCCCACCCCCGCCCTGTTGTTTTCAAGGACTTGGCAATGTACATAAATGAAGTTAAACGGGACAAAGAGACCCTAAAGAAAATCAGCGAGTTTCAGAGTTCTATAGAAAACTTGGTAAGTGTGGCCGACTCTCCAAAGATTGAAGGTTAATTATGTCCATTTACCATGTGTATTTTTAAAATGACTTTCACCATCACTGTATTGAATAAGCGGAAGTGTGAACACACACTTGTCTGGCTGGATCTTGGGAGCTAGTGTAGCCCCGACCTTCTCCACACACCAGCCAGCCCAGTGCCCAGCTCTCAGAGGTGTCCTGCTGGCAAGGGGCAGGCCTGGGGAGGACGGTACTGACCACCACAGCCTCCCTCCCTGGTCTGGACTGAGGATTCTCTTGGTCCAAGAGGCCGTGGCTCCCAGGAAGCCTGAGGCTCCTTCTGGTCTGTGTACCCCTGGCCCAACATCATCTCCACTGTCCCCGGAGGGACAACGAAGCAGGTGTATCCACGCTGTTGGGGAGCTGCCCTCAGGTTCTCCCTCCCCCTCGGCGTCAGTCAGGCAAGGTTGCCACCTCATGGGACCCTCTCAGAGGCTCATCCTTGGGCGTTGGGTGAGCCACTGTGTCCTGCTGGGAGAGGAGCTGGGCCGTCCAGGAAGCAGACACTTCCCCGCTTGTGCCAACTGACGTCTTGCAGACCTGCCAGTACTTGCCCCAGAATTTCTCCACTTCTGCTCCGTTGATCACTTCTGGATTGTTCTTTGTTTCGGGGTCTGTCCTGTGCATTGTGGGATGCCCACTGGATGCCTGTAGCACCCCCACCCTTGGGGGGCCCAGTGATGACCACCAAATACATCTCCAGAGGTCCCCTGGGCACAGAACTGCCCCTGGCTGGGAACTGATGGCTTACACCAGGCATTTGCACTCTGGTCCCTGAACTTGGCAGGGTCCTGGTGAGTCTGTCAAACTCAAGTCAACACAGAAGCTGTTTTGAAAAGGAAGCTCGTGGTGCCCAGGCCGGCTCCTGGTGCCTGTTTGCTCACCCGCACCGACCAAGGTGAGAGCCCAGAGGACCGCCTCTGCATCCAGGTCCTGGAGAGCGCTCAGAATGCGTTGTCGGGTGAAGGAAAGAAGTTCCCAAGCAGCATTAGGATACAGCTCCGTTTCTCCTTTTTACAACAAAATCGGGACGCCCCGGCTCAGGATGGGTTAGGGACAGACGTGCCCAGGGCTCTGGCGGTGCCGAGGCTGTCAGGGTTCCCCTTGCCCATAGGCCATGTTTTCTCGATGCTGTATGATGGATGGGCATCACTTTTGTAACATGAAGAAAAACAATTTTGGTTTATTTAAAAATTTTTTTAACATATGAGTAATGCTTGTTCCTTAAGCAACTGCGGTGGTGAGCAGGTGTGGCCTGTTCCCTTGGGCCCGGCGCCCGCTCAGCCCACGCCTTCTCCCGAACCCCGTCACCCTGGTGGGGGTGGCCCTTTTGTTTCCTGCACGTTAGAGGTGAGACATGGAGGCCCAAGGGAGTTGCGCAGGGTGCTCATCCCTCCCTGTGAGGCACCAAAGCTGCTGTGCTCTGAGTCTTGCCCCAGAAGCTTCTGGAAGATTCTGAGAACTCGGAAGAAGATGCTGAGGACCGCCCATCGCCGCGCCTTGTGGACACAGCCTCAGGATCTCGGAGTGCGCCTCCCGCCTTCCTGTCCGCGTAGACACGCAGGAGCGCTAAGGAGACCGTCTCCGAATCGAAGCAGAGTGGCCGAGATGCGAACCGAACAGGAAATAGAAATCAAGTCTCAGAGGGCGGTTTCACGGGGGCCTCTTCCCGTGGAAGATGCGCTGTGGACAGGACCGCTGGCAGGACCCCGCCCTGCCCGCCGCCCTCCCCTGATAAGAGCTCCTTGTTCCCTTTAACTGGGCGTCTGGCTTTTCCTACCAGGTCCCTGCTCTGGGCGCCACACCACAGCGGCCTGTGGAAGTTGCCCACCGTGAACTGCTCTGTTCCCGCCGAGCTGAAGGCAGCCCTCGACGGGCTTGGGGG